TTGTGTTTTTCACAGTCTCAGTGTCAAGCTTGTGTGTCCTTTTTGACTCTCAGTGTTCATGCTACTATTTTATTTTGGTAGTCCATGTTCATTGTGTTTAGTTTTGCTTCCCCCTGTCTTGTTATGTCTAAATTGTTCCTGCTGTGTTCCCAGCTGTTTGCCAAAGCAAAGGTGCCTTTGTCAAATGGGCTTATGTTTTCTTTTATAGTTCCCTGTTCAATTTTGGGTTTTTTTTTTTTTTTTTGCCTGTCCCGTTTGGTTTTTTTTTTTTTTTTTTTTGCATTATTTCACAATCAGCCTTAACTGAAGGTGGGCGTTTATTAACTTCTTCCTGCCTCCCAGCGTCTGCATGCACACCTTGCATACTCTGACTTAATGCTTTGGTCTGAATGGACCAAGTGGATGCTTTCATGGAGCTCAGTGAGGAGATGGAGAGACTAAATTAGGGGGTCTATGGACCTAAAGACTGTCAGTTGGTTTGGCAGCCATGGATGCTATCATCAGGAGGGATGATGGTGGTTTCCAATAATTGCCAAAATGTATGCTCATTTAGGTTTCAGCTGGAGAGAGGTTACAAGCCCTAGAGTTGCTTCATTCCTTCAGTAGCTCCTCATCACAACAACCTCTTTCCCAAGAGTCTCTACCCAAGCTGACTGTTTCCCCTCCTCCTGGCCCAGCTCTCTTTCTGGCAAGTCAGAGAGGAGCCTTCCCAGACCTCTCCATCCTCAGCCAGAAAGAAAGATTCTCTCCTTCTACTTTCTCTCCATCACCGCTTGGCTCTCCAGCCTTGCCACTGCCATTCTGCACATCATCCCACTGTCTGGCCTGCAAGCTCTCCTCCCTAAGGGGAAGCAGAGCTTCCAATGCCAGTGCTCCAGGGAAATTGACTCTGGATCCCAGTCATTGCTTGTTGGCCCTGGGTTGCCTCAGATAGTCTTAACAGGCAGTAAGACACATGAGTAAGATCCTTTCTGTTAACACTGTTTTAAAAGATTCAATATTCGTGACACTCATTCCTGAACTTAATCAAGCAAAGACAATGTTTTGCTCTTGCATCTACCATTCATGAAGAAGGGTTGTGCAATATTTCAGAGCCATTTGCAATTAAACAATTCTGCATTTCTGAGTAAACTTAAAATGAAATCGCTCAGGTTATTAAGACTGTAATGAAGTGGTGTCAGAGGTTTTTAAGCCAGCTGCTGTTTCCTGTGTTTCCAGATCAGCCATTACTGATACTAAAGGTTTTATTAATGTTGACCTTAAGGACAAGTGTTTTCTGCCTGCTCTGATATTGAGTCCATGTTTTCTGTTTATAAGCCAACTTTTCAGTTGGGAAAAGTTGAGAGTGCAAATATCCATCCAGTCATGTGTGTTCCAAACCCATTATCACAATTTCTAGCAGGAGTGGGGCCAGTGGAGGATTGCCTGGTCCTCGAGTATTTAAAAGTAGAATGGGAGGCAGAGAGTTCAGTTTTCAGGCCCCTCTTCTATGGAACTAGCTTCCAATTTGGATTTGGGAGACAGACACTATCTCTACTTTTAAGATTAGGCTTCAAACTTTCCTTTTTGCTAAAGCATATAGTTAGGGCTGGACCAGGTGACCCTGAATTCTCCCTTAGTTATGCTGCAGTAGGTGTAGGCTGCCATGATGCATTGAGTATTTCTTCCTCAGTCACCTTCTTCACTCACTATGTGTTAATAGACCTCTCTGCATTGAATCAAACATGTTATTAATCTCTGTCTCTCTTCCACAGCATGTCTTTATCCTGTCTTCCTTCTCTCTCCCCAACCGGTCGCAGCAGATGGCCCGCTGCTCCCTGAATTTGGTTCTGCCTAAAGTTTCTTCCTGTTAGTTAGTTTTAGTAAGTTAATTTTTCCTTCCCACTTTTGCCAAAGTGCTTGCTCATACGGGGTCATATGATTGTTGGATTTTTCTCTGTATGTATTATTGTAGGTCCTACCTTACAATATTAAGCGCCTTGAGGTGACTGTTGTTGTGATTTGGTGCTGTATAAATAAAATTGAATTGTAAATGTAATTGAATTGCTGCAGCCTTCATGTCAGTGGGGGGATCTGGGGGTTTCTCTGTGAATTTCACATTCTTCTGGCAGCGTGCTAGGTGCTTGCTCAGATTTGAAGTTTTTTTCTGTAGAAAGTTTCCTTCCCATGCAGAGTGTACGGCAGACACTAATGTTTTTGTCACTTTTTACAGAATCAAACTGTCAGTACTTGCAAGCTTTAAATGCTGCATAGTCGTACTCTCTCCTGCACTCCATGTTATCCATTGTTGATCTGCACACTTCTTTTGTTGTCAAGGACATCGCACACTCGTACGTCATTGTCATTCGACACTCTCACAAACAAAATCACAGTTTAGTAACGCAGCGTGCCTACAGTATCAGTAATCTAATGACTTTTTTTGCAATAGTAATCCCTTATTTTACTCGTTACTTGAAAAAAGTACTGCCCATCTCTGACAGTTACCTGCAATGCCATTTTCTGACTAACAGATGGCACTCTTACAAATACCAAATCTCATTTGACTGCAGTTTGTTTCAGAGGAGTTCTTGTGTCCAGTCACAGGTATCAGTGACAGTGAGAGTGAGAGAGTAACTCATGATTCATAAAAATAAGGTGCCATTTGGTCTGCATAGCATAATAAACATGTATATTTGCTTATTTTTCAAAGGAAAGGTCCATGTGATTTCTGTTATCATTTACTGTATTTTCTTTATTGTTTTGGATGAGGCATTGATTCAACTGAATGCCAACAATTTACTGCATTTTTATTATAAGAATATGAACTAACAGTGTATATTTACATTATGCTCACATGGCTGTACATTGTGCTTCTGGCATGCCAGAGTGTCCCTTATTTGACAGTTAAAAAGTTGGCAACCTTACCCCACACACATTGCCAACTTCAGACTTCCCGAACAATTCTTTGCTTTAGTTTTTAAAGTGAAACTCTCAGCACAGACTATAAACCTTGCCTGATCTCCTGCATTTCTCACCTGAAAATCTACCACGTGAAAATTCCTGTCCAAAATCTTTTTCCCCATTCTGGTCTTCTTAGGCACAAAATGCCAATAATCACACCCATATGTCAAAGGGTAATCATCAGCCAACACGGTGGTTTCTACAGCGGGTTTCAGTTTTAGTTTATATAAGTAGTGTTACTTCTTTCATTGTTAATTAATCATGTTGTGATTTTGTATCTCTTCCTGAACGTTTTGTGTCTCTTTATGGTTATTTTGTGTGTTTCGTGGTCATTGTGCACCTACTATGGTGCACAATGACCACGTTTGTACTGATTTTGCATCAGTGTGTAATTTGAATTTCATTGTAGATGGTTTGTCTAATATTGGCCCTCCCTGTGGCAGTTTTGTTTATCTTTGTTTAGTTTTTCCCTTTGTTTGGTTGGGGTTTTTTTTGTTTGTTTGCTTTTCTGTTTGAACCTTTTAATCATTATTTGAATGACTTATCAACAACAGTGTTGAGAGGTTCAGGACTTGAGCCACCAACTCGTTTGGTCCCTTGGTTAGGTTAGTGTCTGAAGAAAAGTATAAAAACTCTGCACTCACCCTGTGTTTGGTGTATAACAGCCATAATCACATCAGAATTGGTATGCCTCTTCTCCCTCTCTCCACCTGTTTTTCTTCTGTGCGATCTTTCTTCATAAAGGGAGGAGCTCATGTGGCTCAGTTCCAAACTTGATGGCAATACCTGGAGGTTGCTCAACTGCTTCCTAGAATTATATTCTTCATTCATTGTTTGTTTGTTTTTTACATTCAGATTGCTGTTCTTTATCTGACTCTCTAGATTTGAGGATAGCTTTTTGTACCTTCTTCTGGGCCAACTGTTGATTTGAATGGATGTGCACACAGTACATGCTGATGTTTGATAAAAATGGAACAACAGTGAGTATGAATGTTTCTGTCAGCTACCAAGCATGACAACACTGCTCTGCATGCAGATGGGTTACATTTTCAGTATGGGTATGAATGAGCTAAATGTCAGCATTAGTCATCCAAGTTTACAGGCCTTAATTAAAATTTATGTTTGCATTGTGGTTTTCTCAAGAAAACTTTCACTGAAATGATTAAAAATCAAGAGTTTTAAAGGCACCACCACATGTGGCTGCAGTGTATATTATTGAAAACGGACAACAGAAATCAGTGTTTAGTGTTATATGTTGATATTTATGGTACCTGGGGCTGCAGGAGTGGCAGCTTGTAGGAAGAGAAACTTGATGATGATGACGACGTTGATGAAGATATCCATCGTAACCCAGTCAGGCCAGTCATAAGGAATCTGGTTTGGGAATCAGGAAGTGGCATCGCATCTAGTTTCCGAGACGACACATGTGCCTTCGCTATTGTCTGTTGTTTGCCATCGAATTTACATACCAGTACCACTGCCAATGAGTCCACCACACCCTGCTGCTCACTTCACACACACAGCTGCCCATGTGTCATTCACAAAGGCACCATTCAACATCGAAGTTAGAACAATGGACACTGCAGACTGATCAAACTTCCATACAGCTGTTAAGAAGTTCATTTACAGGTTCTGCTATACTAAGAACCTGCTATGCTATGCTTACAAACCATGCCTTTTTTTTCCCCTGTTTATTTGTATAAAAACTCTCAAGTCTCTGACTTCTACTTTAAATATACAACCGCAGGTGTCTGCATTGGACATTTCTGTTCTCGAGTTAGTTGTCCCTCTATTACCACAGGGCTTTAGTGGACCGGTTTAGCCGGTTATGTGGGATTTCAGCAGAACAGGAATATCAAGGGAGAACTTGCCCAGGCCTCTCTGTTTCTGCTCCTCAAGGGGACGACCGCCCTGACCGGTTTTCTGGGGTGGAGAGATGAGATAGAGGCAGAGTGTGGAGAGGAGGAGGGTGTATGTGGGGCGTTCTCCTTCAACTCATTCTATTCTCATTCTTTTCTTTATCACACTTGGTCTCCCACCGCCTGCATTTCACAACGTCCAGCTGCGGAAAAGAAGCGTTGGCTAAGGTAGAAGCGGCTGAGAGAGAGGCAGTCACCGGCTGTTTTGGTAAGTGGGAATTGATTTGGCTCTGAGTTGTTGCCTGAGGACGAGGATAGACTTGCTGACAGGTGAGCAGCTTTGGCAGGGATTGAGCCAACACAGAGAACAGGAAACAGTCATGACCTTACTTTGGGGGCAATTACACATTTACTTCACATTGTGTTATACAATGTATTCATTTACAACCCATAAATATGAATAAATACAAAGGCACAGAGTTCTTTCATAAGGACACCTCTAGGGTTTATTTGAGGAGTTCAGAGAAAAGATATGTATTTAGAAGCTTTGTGGTCTTGAATTAAAATGTCTCTGTAATCATTCAGAATTAGTTCAATCTAAGTATATTATCTTATTACACGCACGGTTAAAGGTAGCTTAGCAAGCAGAAACCCTGCCTGCTCTTATTTGTTTCGAACAGCATCAGCTGACATTGTGCGACAGCAGTGACTGAGGACTGAACCACAAAACTTCCTGTCTCTCACACACACACAGCTCACCTCTGGTTTTGAACAGAAAACGTCCTGTGCTGATGGGAGGTGTTTTTAATCCCTGTGTTAAAGCTGCAGTAGTGAAATGTGCCTCTAGTGTGCTCTTTATCTCTCTCTTAAGGTGTGTGCCATCTAGAACTACGTGTTTGCACATAACGTGCTAATGCTTCTGTCAACAGTCAGAAACGTGTGATGCAGTTAGCTCGTCAGAGCTAGTGGCCTGGAAATTCAGAGTAATTTCATAA